TTATTATCATTATTATTATTATAGAATTAACTAGCACTCAACACCAATAATAATTAAGAACACATGCTCTGAGCGTTTTACAACACATAAACAGTACAATATTGTGTTCTGACGAAAAATCTATTTACGTGTATGTCTCATTAATCTAAAAACAGAAATAACTGTAGTAGACATTTTATATATTTTTTTCAAAATGTATCATCTGACAAAAGACTCTGCAATAGTCATGTTCTAGTAGATCTACTTTAGTTTAAGCTGCCATTTTCATTACTTGTATTTATTTCTGCATATTTGAATAATTTTGAAAAAATGTTTAATCCCTCAAAAGACTCGACAAAACTCATGTTCTAGTGCTTTAGTTTAAGCTTTGATTATCATTACTTGCATTTATTTTTGTTTATTTGCAGCTGATATTGACATGCATACAAAATTTATCCAGTGCCATAAGCTTTTTTTATGCTCCTCGCGAGCAGTTAATGCGCTTTAGTTTTAGTTTTAGTACGAGTTGCACGGCACTTGTAACACAAAATTAAATAAGTCATATATGTGCCGAAGATAATAGGTACTACTAGAGAATAAACGACAAAGACAAGAAGGAGGAGAGATTATAAGGATGGCAGATGTTTGAATGCCAAGAAGGATCAAACCACACCAGAGCACAGAGTTGTTGTGAAAACAACGGTGTTACACCAGATTGTGCTTTATTGGGCTTTTAGTGGGTGGTTGGTGGGTGCTTTGGTTTGATTAGCTCCTTCTTTTTTTAATGAAATATTTATCGCCTTTATATCTGCCCCTTCATTTCTTTGTATGTTTCTCTCTGTCACGTAATACCTTTAATACCCCGCACCTATATAACCTAATTGCTATTATAAAAGTGCCATAAAACTCTTTCTGAAACTAAGTCTTAAAAAAGGAAGCTATTTCTAAATCTGAAACAACCGAGCTCGCTGTCGCTGGAGCTAATGAACAGATTAATTCATCTTTGTATTAGGTAGTTACACGCAGCAACTTTCTTCTGAGATAAGATACATCTTTATTGTCCAGATCCTGGCACTTTGTTTGGTGTTTCACCATGTACACGCATACACACATACACACACATACACACACATACACGCACATACGCACACACACACACACACAGACGCACACACACGCACACACACACGCACACACACACACACACGTACACACACACACACACTCACAAACATGCACTCACACGTAGTATACTTGTACTCACAAACAGGCTTACAGTCCCATGCATAATATAAATGAACAATGGTGTAAACAATAATAATGTTACGCTAGATACATACTTTATTCTGATTGTAACTCATTAGTGTTCTAATACATGTTCTAAGGTCATATGAATACTTATAACAAGATGATTAAGATGGAAGAAGTTTGGTGGATGATGGTAAGAATGACTTTCTGTATCTTTCTTTGTTGTAGATCAGAAGCCTAGGTCTTTTATTACTTCTGTTTGATAGTTTTATTTGAGGGAACAGGGGATGTTCATTGTCCAAAAAGATGGAATTAGTTTTTCTAGAGCAAGCTGTTATGTTTATTCATCCAAGTAGGGGAATGTAGATGTTGAAACTTTGAATGCTTTCAGTATTAATCGATTTTTCTTTCACTGCTACTCTTTTTTTTACTACCTTCAGTTGATCTACCTGCCTGCGTGCGCCCACCTGCTGTTTTTCATTATCAAAACAAAACAATAAAGTATTCAAATCATGACAATGCTCCGCGTGCACGTGTGAGTGAGTACGCGTGAGTACGTATGGGGGATCTAGTAGGCTTAATTGCGTTTATACATCTTCTCCACTCACGTGAATAAATGTATGTATTATACGTATCTTTATGCTTCATTTTCGAAGAATCGTTAAGATTTATTGACACAGAGCAATAGAATAGAAACAGACAGTTAACCACCTACACATAAAAACAAAACAAACACCCCCATCACCACCACCAACCACCACCACCATCACCACCCTCCAACCACAACCACCATCACAACTTTCCTCCCACCACCACCACCCTCCAACCACCACCACCACCACCATCACCACCACCATCACCACCCTCCAACCACCACCAACCACCACCACCACCAACCACCACCACCATCACCATCTCCCCAGTTTGGTTACAGTTGTACGAGGTCAGGTCATAATTATGAGCAACTCCCCGGGGCAGTGCCACTGACTGTAGTGTCTTTAGGCCATTCCCAAGCACAGTAGAATTGTAAATGGGCTCATTCATGTCACGCTCATAACTGTGCCTGATCTACAACAGGGAACTGCTGCTTTTTCTTTCCCGATCCTTACTATTGTCACTTTCCTCTACCTCTTTCATAAGTTTGTCACTCTCTTCTGACCTGCTATTTCCGGGGTGCCTTGATAGTCGAAGCAGACCTTGTGCTGTTGTAGCTAGAGAGGTGAGCAGTCTAAGTCTGATTCCCTGTAAAGACTTCTCTGTTGACACCCACCCCTTGGCGCCCATATGACCTTATACAGTGCGAGCACTGTAAAACCCTCTACTATAAAAAAAAAAAAAATTATGAGCGTTCACACCCACCGTCACACCCCCGCTAGATCATGGACGAAGACTCTATTCACTTTTGCTTTCCTCTGTTTGTCTGTCTTTGTGTCTGTCTTTCTGTCTTTCTGTCTGTCTGCCTCTCTCTCTCTCTCTCTCTCTCTCTCTCTCTCT